AATCTGACCAAAAAGGAAAATGTTGGATGTGGGGAGCAATATGGGAAAATCAGAACAATAATGTACTGTTGGTGGAGTTGTGAACCGATCCAACCATTCTGCAGAGCAATTTGGAAGTATGCCTAAAGGGCTATAAAACTGTGCATACCTTTTGATCTAGCAATACCACTGCTAGGTCTATATCCCAAAGACATGAAAAAATATGGAAAAAGATCTATATCTACAAAAATATTTATGGCAGCTCTTTTTGTAGTGGCTAAGAATTAGAAATCAAAGGATATCTATCAAGTGGGGAGTGGCTAAACTGTGGTATTATAAAGTAATATTATTGTGCCATAAAAAATGACAAGCAGAATGATTTCAGAAAAACCTGGAAAGGCTTACATGAAATGATGCATAGTGAGGTGGACAGAACCAGGAGAATGTTGTACATAGTGACAGCAATATCGTTCAATGAAGAATTGTGAATGACTTGGCTATTCTTAGCAGTGCAATGATCCACGACAATCCTGAAAGACTAACAATGAAGCATATTATCCACCTCCTGAGAAAGAATTGATATTGATTGAATACAAACTGAAGCATGTTATTTTTTACTTTCTTTGTTTCTTTTTTTCTTTTATTCTAATCTTCTTGTACAAAATGATTAATATGGAAAGGTTTTACATGACTGCACTTGCATAACCTATATCTGATTGCTTACCATCTTGGGGCATTGGGAGGGGAGCAAGAGAGGGATAGAATTTGAAACTCAAAACTTTATAAAGAAAAATGTTTAAATTTAAAAAAAAACTATACATGTTTGCAAAAGTTTGGGGGATTTTCCCCCTTGCTTTCTCAATGAGGGGAGAGAGGGAGATAATGTGAATTTGGAAATAAAATTTAATTTTTAAAAATGTTACTTTAATAGTACAGGGTATGATGAGGGCTTGAAGGTGGTGCCTTTGTGAATGAAGAGGTGACAAATGTGAGAGGTGTTGTGATAGTAAAAACAACAGGGTTTAGAAGCTGATTGGAAATGAGTGATGAGGGAAAGTGAAGATTCAAGGATAACATGAAAGTTGTGTACTTGGGAGACTGGAAAGATCACAGTACCCTTGGCAGAAATAGACAAGTCTGGAAGAAAGGTAGTTTGGGTAAAAATATAATGAATTCTATTTTGGACATATTGAACTTGAGATATCCAGGGGATATCTATTTCAAAAGGTATAGTAGGCAGTTTTATGCATGACTAGAGCTCAGTGAAGAGTCTAGGATTAAAAGTATGGATTTTAAAGAATAATTAACACCTATACTATACAAATTATTCTCAAAAAGTAGAAAATAAGACAGTTTACTAAATGCCTTTTACCTCTTAGAAATGTTGTCTTTCTAAAAGGCTAAACTCAGGTGTTATCTCCTCTGTGTTGTCCTTGAATGTCCAACTCAACCCAACACACACACACACACACACACACACACACACAAATTGCTAATGCTCTCACTTTCCCCAATTTTCCTTATAATATACTTATTTGTGTTCGTATTTTATTCTTCCAATAAAATACAAACACCCTAATAGTGAGGATTGTTTCATTTTTATTGTCATCTTTTTCCACTATGCGTTTACTTGTTTAAATGATCAAGGCATTTTGGGGAATATTTTGGCCTCCTAATTGAGCAATTTGAATTGGTTAAACTTTAAAGAAAAATAGTGATAGTCAAGGTCAGATGCTTGTACTTTTATCTACCCAAGGATAGCTAGGGGATATACAATCCCTTTGCATTTTTTTCCATTTCCCACACTACAACATTAACAGATTTTTTTCAATAGGTCAGGTTGAGGTTCTTACAATCATGTACAATGTCTACTCATATTTATCCTTTTTTCTTAATTTTTTATTGATTTTGACTTTTACTCTAAATTGTCACTAGTCTGAAGATAGACAAACGGTTGATTTTGATATGACAGCAACAACTAGTGATTTTCTACATGTTAAGACATAGTCACGTCCATGTCCATGTCCTTGTGACTTTTGTATGGAAGAAAGTATTCAAAATATAAAGGTGTGAGGTTTCTGACTAGTCTACAAAACTTTGGAATCTATCCTTTCTCAAACCTGAGCCATATTTTCTAATAGATCTTCCACCATTGTCTCAAGTACACATTCATACTGAAATAATAGATTATCAGAATGTATGTGTGTTCCCTTGGGTTGGAGAATCCTTTTCACTCCTTTGTGAAATCTTCTTCCTCATCCTCTTAAACAACTGTTGCCACCTAAGCTGCCGTTACCTCATGGTAGTCTTTTTGCTTATGTTTATTTATCATTTGGATGATGAGATGACCAAGTAAACCAACTCCTTTATTTGCTTCTCCAGGGAGAAGCAGAAACTCAGAGCCATTCTTCTATTTCTCTGTAATTTTCACCTTCCCATTTTATTGGTTGTATATCAGTGTGGTTCAGTTCAAACAGCAGTAGGTCAATTGGATAATTATCTCATATTTTGAATACTAACAATTAATGTTTATATGTAGTCTAAAAACGAGATTATTTTTAGCACCTTGTGTCCCATTTTTCTCCGTATCACCATCATTATGGAAGCAGAAGGGAACCACACAGAACTGCAAACTATTTAAAATTTTCTTTGTTTATTGGATTGCCTCTCAGCTAAGGTCCTCTTCTAATGACTCATCATAATATCGAATTTAACCTGAGTTCTCAATGGTTGTTCAGAAGGGGAAAAAGTTCTGGTAAGCCCTTCCAAAGCTGGAAATTTTTTGAACACATTGATATCTTTTCTCTGAGGACCAACCAAGATAAATTTGGAGAGTCTTGTCAAAGGATTGTCTAGAGGGTGATGAATTTTTTGGCCATATTGTGGCAGTTATGATTTGTTTCTGAGGAAGGAGTGTCCACACGGCTGAAATCACAGAACCTAGAAGTACTGAAGTGTTAGGTTGCCTTTGGCAATTAATTCATCACTTAGTGGTCTGTCTCCTGTTGATGAACCTCTACCTAGTCTCAAGCAGCAGACTTTGTCACAGAGGACACATAAAAAGGTTTTGCCAGCATACTAGCATAGTGAAACCTTCCAGAGCTTACACTTGGCATAGGCTTTGGAGAGAGACAAAGAGACAGACAGACACAGAAACATAGACAGACAAAAACAGAGACAGAGGAAGAAGCAGACAGAAAGACACTCAGAGAGAGACAGTGTGTGTGTGTGTGTGAGAGAGAGAGAGAGAGAGAGAGAGAGAGAGAGAGAGAGAGAGAGAGA